TGGGACTAGGGTGGTGGCACAGGGGTGATCTGGTGATGGGAAACCCGCGGGGATTACAATCGAGATGGCAAAAAAAAATGTGCAAAATGATGTAAAAAATAAACTTTGTAATAAAAAAAAAATAACACATACTTTTTTACTCAGAAGTAAGCTTGTCTCTCAGGTTTCCTACTATATTTATTTCCCTTAATTCAAGAGTACTTGGTCAAGAGGAAGTACCTGAAATAGCTCATGTATGAAAACCTAAAACACTGGATGAGTTCGAGGTCTGCTGATGGCTGAATTCAGTCACGTATTCACGAAGTCTTTATGCAAGGCCCAGAGTGTACCACTAGCGGCGACAGCAATGAAACCAGGCATGATCCACAGGGAGCACACCACTGGCGAGGGTATTCCTGACTCACAGGGTGGTACGGTGTTCTGAGTGCTGATGACCACCTGGTTTCAAATTATACTTTGGGACTGAGATATAAAAAGGCAGGAATGAAGATATGTGTGAGACACAGCTGCACCAAGTGTCCATTTATTAAAGCTAGTCTCGCTATGACCAGGAAGGTCATTCAGGATGCCTGAGCTGATATTTTCGAGCAGAATGAGTAACCTAGGCTGGACCATGGTAGACCTCACCATTTACTTTAATGTCTCTTAATAGGAATTTTTTCTAATAAAAGTTGTTGTCATGGAAGTTTTACACATTGGTTAAATGTACACATCTTTGGTCATATTTACTCCTAGGGACTTTTAAAACTTCTGAAAATTACTTTTTCTAGTTCTTGCCAATAAGCAAAGCAACTATTAGTTACAGCATATTGATCTGGTATTCAACAGCATCACTAAATTCCTTTATAGTTACTATAATTTATCTATAGAATCTTCAGGGTAGTCTGTACTTTTTTCCTAATAAATCCCATATTATTATTTTATATCCTTGTTTGTTTTATTGCAATTAATAAAATTTCTTCCCTTAGGTGTGGTCACCATAGTTTTCTCACAACCAAAGCACTCCATAGACCACCCTTCCCTGCACCTTGCTTTCTCCCTTCCATCACACCCCTCCTACTTGATACCTCAGATCAACTTTCAAGGACTGGCTTTAAGTTTGCCTTTCTCTGATCCTTTGTGTTTTTTTCCCTCTCTTTATTCAAGGGAAACAAAACACTTTTGTTTAAGCTACTGTAGTTCAGCTTTCCCCCCAACACAACGCTAACTGAGACAAAAGTAAAGTAGTTTTCATTACTATTGAAAGCAGATTGGGTAAGCAGGATGAACAAAGATAAAAGGAACATTCAGAAGGTTAGTAGAAAGAACTGTCTAGAAAAATTGACTGCTTCTGAAAAGGTGGGTCAGGTGAACAAGGCTTCCTCTTTGTCTGAAGCCCACTGTGGAATATTTTTATGGGCTTGTTTCGTTTCTGCTTTTAATTGGGAGACTACCTTGTCTTTTGGGCATCTTAAGTATAGTTCTGCTTGCAGGTAAATGTTAAAAAGTCTTCTTCCTATGACCCTCGTTCTTGAAACATCACCAAAACAAAAGGAAAGAATAAAAGCTCTTTCTCAGTATCACCAAATTACCCAGGTGTGACTTCTATTTTCCATACCCGCTCAGACACATTCTGAAAGGATGTTGCAGCAGGGTGGTGAGGATGGTCTGAATGGGAGTCCTCTTTGGGGCTGGAGTTTATTTCTTCCAGATGCTGCCTAGTATGTGTTGCAGATGCAGGCTCAGTGGGCTCTGACAGTCCAGGAAAAGGTGAGCTCGCAGTTACAGATGTGACTGGTACTACCTGGGTGGTGCCTTTGGGTGATCTGAAGGAAGCAGGCTGAAGGAATGGCATAAGGTCTTAGACTAAAAGGCAAAAGTATGTAAAGGAAAGGCTGATTCTGATTACCAAGGAATGATTTTGGGGTTTCCAAAATTGCTCTGCAACCCCCATATCTCATGAAATGTTAATAAGCAAGTCTCTCAAAAAGATTCTGTATTCAAACAGTTTTGAGAAAGTGGCACACTATGTCATCCTCTTTATACACAACTTACATGAATATCATGCGTTGTCAGCCTTCATTTTTGTACAATGTATGATTTCCCCAGCTGTGTCTCACACATATCTTCATTCCTGCCTTTTTATATCTCAGTCCCAAAGTATAATTTGAAACCAGGTGGTCATCAGCACTCAGAACACCGTACCACCCTGTGAGTCAGGAATACCCTCGCCAGTGGTGTGCTCCCTGTGGATCATGCCCGGTTTCACTGCTGTCGCCGCTAGTGGTACACTCTGGGTCTTGATCTCTGTAATTAAATAATATATCTTGATGTGAGATAGATTCCTTCTATTTTGTTATACTTTTCTCAAACTTGTTGTAAATATTCTAGTTCCTTTGACTTTCACTATTTCACTTTGGGAAGAGGAATTATATTTGGTGTTATATTTTAAAGTTTGATTTCTGTATCTTCACTGCTAATATACAAGTGCCTTAATGATTTTTGTATGTTTATATTGTAGTTTGTGACCTAGACAGAAATCACTGAATTAGCTACAAAGATAATTATGTCATCTATAAAGAGAAGCAGTTTTACTTTCTGGAGAGGAGCAGGGGGAGACTCTTTGTCTTTTATTTTCTTTACAGCAAGTTTCAAGTAATGTTTTTGATTAATGTGCTTTTGTTGTTAACGTTAATGAGAAAAACAAGGTCCAGGCCAACATTAAACAAAAAATGTATTCCAGGGCCTACTTCTGTTATGTTTTTTACTTCAAAGTAGTGGTCTCCTGGAGCCTATGGATGACGCAAGTGAGACTTACTTGTACTTGCTTTATCTGTACTGGTTAGTCACTGTAATGAGTAAGAACAGTGACAGTAAATCCCAAACTCACATTGATTCAAAGCAAACCCCAGATATATCATCTATACATTTTTCAGAACCTTATCTCTAAGAGAGAACTTAAAATATGACCACAATACATCTTTGTATTAACAAATTAATATTAACTGATACAATCAGTTAATCAATATTTAAATGTCTCTAGTTGCAGCAGTGATGCATACACATACCTTTTGTTAGGATGTTAGGACACTCGTATAGGATTCCATGTTTATTTTTTTTAATCTGCTGGTTCCCTGCTCCCCCACATTGCCATTCCTTGCTGAAACAACTATGTTTTTATCCTGTAAAGTCCCCCAGTTCTGGATTTTGATCACTGAAATCCCCTGGTGCTATTTCACATGTACCATGGTCTCTTACTTCTTATGAATTAACTGGCTCTGGATGCTTAATCAGATTTGGGTTCTATTTTTTTATAAGCATCCATAATAGGTGGTAACAAACATTTCCATCAG